AGATTCCAAATATTTCTAATCATGAACATTCAGCAACTTCAATCTTGAACATTAAAATATGTGATTTAAAATACCAAGAGGTAGTCAGATTTAGTATTTGATTTTGGTAGTTGACAGCAATAGTTGATTTATAACTCATCATTCTGCTAACATTGTTTTAATGCCTACACATACGTGATACTGTGTAGCTTATTTTGGGACCCACTATCATTTTTATTTATTAATTTTTAGAAGTTTATTATTTCTTCCAGGAGTGAGAGATACACAGAGAGAGAGCACTTCCAAGAAAATCTTGACCCATAATCTCTCCCAGCCTAAGCTGGCCCCAGATCATGGGCATATGGGTGCCCTGTGTACTCAGGGAGGTCTCCAGATGTGAACCTAGAACTCTGCTACATGAGTAAGTCTCACAGGTTGGCATTTGACTGCCACGCCCCTGCCTGGCTCCCAAGTGTCGTGATCAGAAGTATTAATAAAAATTTCCAAAGATCATTAACTTGTATAAAATGATAAGTACCTTTCTTCATATTTTGGCAGTCTACAGGTTAGGACTATAATTTGACTTATTTTTGTGGTGTGATTTATTATTACTATTTTAAAGTTTTTGCCCTAGCACACTTGTGCCCACTGGAGGCGACAGAGAGAGAGAGGGAAAGTGAGAAATCACCCCCTAGGTGGGATGACCATGCCACAGTCCTTTCTCCACCATTCTCCTCCTTGATTTTGGCATGTGTATGTACACATCCAGCACGATTTTCAAGCCACCAGGTTCAGGATTTGAACCTCAGTTGGCTATGTGGAGTTCAATGCCTTAACCACCATGCCACTACGCCATCTGTTGGCCCCTGTTATTACTTTTTAAAAAAAAATCAGAGGGCACATCAAAGATCCACAGTAACTGGCTCGTCCCCATTTGAGAGACTGTAATTGTTGCAGGCAGGAATCACAGCTGGATGCCAGATGTCAGGTGTGTCAGTGTGCTGAGGATATTTACTTGGTCTTGAAGTCTGTTCCCCCATGATGCTTGTTAATTACAGAGGGAAAGATGGTCATGTGACCTGGGGAAACCTGCTAGCTACAGCCTTAACCAAGTGATCAGAATGAACCTGACATAATGATACATGGACATCATTGGCCTCCTGGTAAGATGTACTGGGAAGGGCATGGCGTTACTTCTGCCCTGTGTTTGCTGAGATGCACAAGCTGAATTTAGTCACAAGAAAGCACGAGGCAAGCCCAGATTGAGAGACACTGTGCAAAGTATGTGGCTAGTACTCTTCAATTGTCAAGCTCACCAGAGACAAACTGTCCCAGATTGGAGAAGATGTGACAATTACATGCAACACGTGATCCTGGGCCAGAAAAAGGACATTAGTGGAGGCAGTTGGCAAATTTGGGTAAGGAAGGCTGTAGATTATTTAATACTGTGTCCATGGATAGTTTCCTAGGTTTGATCATGTGGCCGTGGTTAAGATACTAACATTTGAGAAAGCCTGGCAAACGATATACAGAAATTTTTTTGTACTATTTTTGGATCTTTTTGTAAGTCCCAAAGTATTTCACAATGAAGTTAAGCAACAACAACAACAAAAATAATTCAACTCAGCTGAGAAAGTAAGGTTTCGGTGCTTGTGCTTTGTGACATCTCTTTTGATTGGTCAGCTGATTTTCTTTGCTTTCTGAATCCCCAAGGGATCTGGATCCCTGAGGTTTCTAAATAAGGTATCTTGGGATGAGTGAGACATGGCTGTATTGAATTACAGCTACACTTTGAAGAGGTTTTTGTTTAATTAATTAATTTACTTATTTATTTTTGTACAGAGCTGTAATTACATCTTTGGGTATCCCATGGCTGTCCAGGTTATTTGAGCTTTGCTTTTGTAGCCACCAGAATCTGTAGCTGGAAACTTAGCACTGTAATTAATTTGCTGGTTCATTTCTGTTTTTATTATGATGTTAAATTCAGGTTAGTCCCGTGGATTCTTCTGCTGTGTGTCATGTATTATTGAATTTCACATTTGTCATTTGTCTCTTAAGAAGAGCTGATTTATTGTATAAAATATGTTTTTTAAACTTGAAATAGCCTAAATACCTTCTTTTTCTATCAGAACAGACAATCTGGAGATTTTAATAAATACAATGAATCATAAACATACGCTGACATAAGCTCCGAATGGTAACCTCTTGTCGAGCAATAATTAGGATGGAGGAAATGAATACATTGGGAAATGTTTCTGTTAGCAGGAGCACTTGTTAATGTGTGACTCATAGATTCTTAAGTGCAGGCTGTTTTGACTAGTGTGGGAGAGCGAAAGTACGTGGACTTGGGAGTCAGAAGACCTAGTTTTGAATCTCAGATCTGTGACTGCCTATTAGTATGGGTTGGACATGTCATTTGCCTTTTCTGACGTTACGTTTTCCCCTCTGTCATACTGGAGTTGTAGTAGCATCTTGCCCAGCTATTGTGAGAACAGAATGAGGGACGCAGTGCACCTGCCTCACAGAGGCATTCATACGTGCTGGTTCTCCTCTTACCTTCAGCCAGGTTTATAACTAAGCTTTGCCCAGTTGGTAAGAATCTGCTGTGCTGATAAAGACCTATGAACAGATGATAATATATATCAGTATTATTACCAGGAACTTTTTCCATTTCTCTTACTCCAGAGAGAAATGACTTTCTTGGATATGTTAGTCTCATTGGACATTATTTCACCACACTCACTGGACTTTCCATGGCATTTTAGTGTTCTCTTCTGAAATCACTTGGTAATAATAAATATTAAATTTCATTTTGTCTATTTGTTTTTATTTATAAGCCTGAGGGTGCATGTGCCCACCAAAGAGAGGCAGAGAGAGAAAGGGAGAGTGAGAAGGCACCCTCCAATGGGGCATGGTTGTACCACAGTCACTTCTCCATCTCTCCATCCTGTCAGGATGTGGGGCAGGCACACACAGGCATCCAACATGTTTTACAAGCCACCGGGGTTGGGGCTGGAATCAAATAGTCAACTATGTGGGACCTGGACATCTTAGCCACCTGACCAATATTGGGACTTGTTCAATTTTTAAAAATTATTTATTTAATTTATTATTGTTATTTTAAAAGAATTACTTAATTTTATTTGTTCATTTATTTTTAATTTGACTAGAGAGAGACAGAGAGAGAAAGAGGGAAGGAAAGTGAAAAAGCAAGTCACCAGGTCTGGGACTTGAACCACAATCAGCCATGTGGGAGTCCAGCCTTCTAACTACCACATCACCTGCTGGCCCGTATTATTATTTCTTAAAAATTTGTAGTAGGGCATGTGCGCTCACCAGAGAGAGACAAACACAGAGAAAGAGAGAGAGAAAGAGAAAGTGTGAAAGCAAGCTGCCAGATCCAGGACCCAAACCCAGTCAGCCATGTGGGAGTTCAATGTTTTAACCACTGTGCTACCTGCTGGCCCAGAATCGGCTCAAATTTAAATTTCTTTGGAAGAAAATCTTGAGATAAATAGACAAGAAGATGTACAATTAGAGGGAATCATTTTCTTGTATGGTTTCTTTTCAAGTTTCAGGCTGGAGTTAGAGTTTTGAGCCTCTGGTAAAGACCAGTGATTATTGTTCCTATTTATAATAACTTCAGTTCCAAAACTACTTTTTTTTCATTCTTAAATTGTCTGATTTTGATAAGGATCTGTGATATATAAGTAAACATCATTATTTGGGTGAATTATACACTAAAATGTCTGGGGTTAAGGGGGCATGTCTGCAGTTTACTCTCACATGGTTCATAAAAAATTATGTGTGTGTCTTGTGTGTATTTTTGCACAGTACAGAGGGAGAGGGAAGTGGTCCTGGAGGTGTTAGCAATTGGGGATTTGGGTGAAGGGCTTGCAGGAGGTCTTCATACTTCTCCCAGCTTTTCTCTAAGTTTGAGGCTCTCTCACCATTATATTGGATATACACACTGCAGTTTCAGAGGGAGGGAGGGAGGTGTTTAGAAGTGTCTGACTGATGTAGAGAAGTAAGGAGGGAGTAATTCAGTAAGTAATAATTTACTGGCAAGAAATGAGTTTTTTTTAATTTAACCATTTTTTTCTTAGCCAGAACAGAATTTGTGTGTGTGTGTGTGTGTGTGTGTGTGTGTGTAGAAGGGCCCAAGTAGATAAGAGAATACGTTGCCGCTTATCAAAACAGAAAAGATTACTTGGGGGTCCAGCAGGTGGTGGCATGGTGGTTAAAGCGCTGGAATTCCCACATGGGCTACCGTGGTTCGAGTCCTGGACTTGGTGGCTTACTTTCTAACTCTCCCTCTCTTTCTCTTGCAAAACTCGTGTGAAATAAATAAATAAATAAATAAATTCCTTTTTTATTTTAAAGAAAAGACTAGTTGGAAATGAAATCAGATGAAAAGTAAAAGATTTTAAAGATACATATTTAGGGGCCAGCAGGTGGCATGGTGGTTAAGGCTCTGGATTCCCACACGACTGGCTGCAGTTTGAGTCCCAGGTCTGGCAACTTGAAAATCGTGGTGCTTGTGTGTGTGTACCCAAAATCCGGAGAGGAGAGCGGAGGAGAAGGGATTGCGATGTGACCATCCCTCTTGGAGGGGTTGTTTCTCACTGTTTTTCTGTCTCTCTTGGGTGAGCACACATGCCCTTATGGCAAAAACCTAAATAAACAAGCAAGTGTTATTTATAATACATATGTAAGGATAAGCAAAATACATAAAGACTTTTGAAATTATCCAGTGCTCAGTCTTTCTTTCATGAGAGGCACAAGTTAGTTTTCTAGAATTGGCATCCTAGCCTACTAGTTAATAGATATTAATTTATCCTCAAAATTATTCTTGATTTCAAAGGTAACACTTTATATTCTTGCTACAACTTTATATAATGTTTGTTATTATTTTACCCTTCAAAAAGAGTCTTCTAAAATAAATTCCTTTTTAAAAAACTTTCTCTGTTTTTTTTTTTTTTTTTTTCATGACAATGATGACATCTCTTCTGGAAACTCAGGGGACAGCCAAAGGTAAGAGATGTAGTTTATTATCTAATGCTTATTAAGACCTTATGTGCATATTTTGAAGTATTGGAAGTTTTAAATTTTTTTTCCATAGATGAGATGAAACTACGTTTTCTTTGTTACTTTTATAAAAAGAATGCAAGTCATCAGTCTGTTCACAAGTCCAAAGCTGTTTATTGGCATAGGAGAGACTGGAGGTTTATGGAAAAGCTGTATTTGCACTTCAACCAGTTCTGACCAGTCTCTTAGCAACTACAACACAGATTCCTTTTGTGCCATAGATTGGCTCAAAACTGGTAGTTCCAAACTGTGGTCAAAACCACACAAGGCCAACTCATCCTCCCTACTCCCCAGACAGCTGGGAACACATTCCCAGGCCAGTAGAAACCTACCCTGGCCCATAGCTTCCTCCAGGGAATGTGCTTTGATCTTACATTTGAGCCCAGAGTCTAAAGAAACTTTTGTGGAGAGGGTCAGTTTCTTTATTTTTTAGGGAGTTTATTGGTGTTCTGAAGTCGTACAAGGACTGTATTTTTTATTTGACCATTCTCCGAAGTTACTTAGAACTTTCTGGAAATTCAGATTCTTATCTATATTCTTGGGGTTTTGTTTTTGTTTTAGAGTCAGTGGTTGAATTGTAATTCTATTCTCTGTTTTTGCTGCTAAAATATGTGTACACATGGCTGTTTGGGAGTCTGAATGACTTTTCAAAAAGAGTTGAATATGCTCTGATTTCTTTATTGAAACATGAGGGGACTTAAAAGAGTTCGTGGAGAATTAAGATACGAGTTTGTTTTGTTACAAAAATGTAATTTGCAAGAAGTTTCTGCAAAGCTTTTTTAGAGTACACATTTCCAGGAAGTTTTTGAAGATCATGCTTTTTTAAAACTTCAGCTTTTCTGTGAAGAAGGTACTGGCTTATTATTGTTTTCTTATTTCTCTGTTGGAGCTGAAGCTGGAAATTGCAGTAAAGATGACTGTTAAAACTATTCATGTGAATTTAAAGGAATGATGTTTCTTTGAAAAGAAAAGGGCTTGTCTTTTTTTATGAAATATTTGGCTCAAGATACTTATAATAGTTTTCAAAATTCCTAAAGCTCGAAGCCCGTTCAGCATTGTTAGATGAGAACTAAGTGTTTAGTAGTCCTCAACTTTGTGCCTGGCTGTGGCATTTTCATATAATTGGAGAACCACAATAGTCTAGTGGTGCAGAGCATGGACTTTGGTTGAACTGTGGCTGAAGTGCTGTGTTCAAATCCCAGTTCCCCCATCTACTAACTGCAAGGATCAGCTTCCTTTGAACGGTGTCTAGCTCATAGTCTTAGCTAGTGTTATGTTTACTTTTGAGATGATGTCTTTTTAAAAAATTATTTAATTTTATTTATTCATTTACTTTAATTTGACCAGAGAGAGACACATGAGGGGAGGGGGAGAGAGAGATAAAGAAAGAAAGAAAGTAAGTGAGAAAGCAAGCCACCAGATCTGGGACTTGAACTGTGATTGGTCATGTGGGAGTGTCCAGTACCTTAACCACCACACCACCTGCTGGTCCCATTTTGAGATAACTTCTTAGGGATAGCTTCTCTACTAAAACTGGAACTAAAATGCTATTGTTAAAGAAATCTCTAGAAGAAAGACAAGGAATAAAACCCAATAATAATGAAGAAGGAAGCACCATATAGAACCTGATTTTTGACAGGCCTTGCATGTGATGCAGTGGTGCACACCGTTCCTGATACTGGAGGCACATGGAAGGTCAGGAATTCTTGGGTTGACACATACACACAGGCACATGGGCCTGTGATCTTGGCTGGCTTAGAAGGATAGGGGAGAATTGCAATGTGAGACCCTGTTAAAGGGGTTCTTCGGTGTCTCTGTCTCCATATATATAAGAAAGATCTTTTAAAAGAACCTGATCTTTGATAAATATACACATATGGTGATGGCATGGTAGCTTAGGCACTATGTGGAGGGAGCTTGATCCCACATGGCCAACTGCATGTCTGTCCTATATACTATTATTATTATTATAGATGATAGAGGAAAAAAGAAACAGTTTTGTAAACCATAAAACAAACACTTTTAGGCTGACTCCATAGCCTGGTGGTTAAGACAGCTGGATTCCAAATGGTCAATGCTGCAGTTCAAGTTCTGGATCCAGCTGCTTGAGAAACACACCAGGTGCATGTGTGTGTATGCCCTAAATCCTGATCGGATTGAGAAATGGAAGAGAAGGAATTATAGCATGACCATTCCCCTTCTGGGGATGCTTTCTCCTTCTCCCTCCCTGTCTCTCTCTGCCCCTGGTCAGTACACACACCCTTTGATAAAAATGAAAAAAAAAAAAAAAGCCAAACAAAAAAGAAACACTCCTAACTAAGATGTGCTTACAAATTAACTTATGAAGGCACAGAAGAAAAATGTCATTAGGAAGTATAGAAACAAATTTCAGAAGTGAGAAACTGAGATGAATTTTAAAAGAATTGCACTCAAAATCTTTAAAGAGACTAAGTAATAAGACATGAACAACTATATATAAAACCTTTAGAAATCTGAAAGATGAAAGATATATTCATTGGGAAAAAGCTTTTAAAAGATCCCAAAAGGACTATGTGCATATTTTAGAAAGTAGTGATAAGGCCAAAGATCAAAACAGAAATCATCTGTAATGTCGCACCAAATAGCATTTATATGTGTGTATATGTATGCCTTTCATGAGTGAGAGAGATACAGAGAAGACACAACCCCAACGGGGTCTTGGGACTGTGATCCATCCCTGACCTCAACCAGCCCCAGATCATGGGCATGCACATGCCTGGTGTATTCGGAATTGTCTCTAATTGTGAATCTGGAACTCTCCCATGTGCGTCAGCCTTGCAAAGTGTTGGCATTTTACCACTAAGCAACAACCTGCCCCCACCCCTGCCAAGTAGCATTTTTAAATGTATATTCTTCTTACTCTTTATGCATATTGATATTTTTGTACAGATATCATGACTTTCATTAATGTGTACATTTCCTTGTCAGTAAGTCTTCCTGAAATCTGTGTAGTATTCCACAAAGGTGTGTTATAATTTATTTAAACAAGCTGCTATTGGAACCAGCTGATGGCATAATGGTTACATCGTTAGACTCCCATGTAGTCACTACTGTGGCTTAAATCCTGGACCTGGCAGCTTAAAACCCAAGCAGATTGTGCATGCATTGGTTCCCAAAATCCTGAGAGGAGAATGGAGAAGGAATTGCAGCGTAGCCATCCCCCCTGGGGGATGATTTCTCACTTTGTCTCTCTGGTGAGCACATGTGCCCTATAGGCTGCTATTTTGTAGCTATTTTCAATATCCTGAAGTGATTATCTTTAATGTTTATTTTAAGAAATATTTTTTTCCTCTGACTATAAAAGTGAGAATGTGGAACAACATAAAGAATGAAACGAAGATTGATAACTCACCATGCAAATGTTAACTTTATATAGTTATGTACCCATAGGGACATTTTGGCCAATTACAGATTTCAAATACAGTAGTGCTCCCATAAAGTGTATGGTACAAGCTACCATATATTTGGGTGTGTAGTAGGCCATATACCATTGTAAGTACACTGTGATATTTGTGCAACGGCAAAATCATCTAACAGCATGTTTTCAAAGTGTGTCCCTATAGTTAAGTGACACATGATTGTATATATAAACTGTGCGTGCATTTGTGTGTATAATAGCTATTACATTATACATGTTGTTTCGTAACCTTTTTTTTTTTTCACTTAATGTTGCAAATGGTTTTCCATGTAAGATTTAGATCTATGTCACCTATAGGGTGATTTGTTGTCATTGTATGATTGTATTATATAAATAACTAGTCCCTGTTGTATGAGAAAAAAATTCATTATCTTGAACAAGTCTGTCAATACTGTGACATTATTACAACATTATGAGCAATGTTAGGATTTTGGTCACTGTTTTGTTCATTTTTCAACAGGTGTTTGCTTATGATCATTGTTTCTGGTCTATGGATGAATCTGTCAAAGAAAAGTATGCAGGTAATAGAGTACACCATCCTATCAACTGCTGATAGTTTATCAAGACTGTCTGGGGCTGGCTCTGTTGCCTGGTGGTCAAGGCAATGGTATTCTACCATGTTGTTTTAATCTCAGCCCTGGTGACTTGCAAAACACACCAGATGACTGTGCCTGTGTGCCAAAAATCCTACCTGGATGGAGAAATAGAGGAGACAGAATTGCAGTGTGACCATACCCATTGGAGAATGTGTTCTCTCTTTCTCTTTCTTTTTCTTTGATGAGCACATGCATCCTTTTATAAAATTACAAAAAAAAAAAAGGTGTTTAAAATTTTTCCCCCATACATAGTCATAATATATATATTTTTTTAAGTTTAAAATCTATGCAGATGGGTCAGCAGATGGCATGATGGCTAAGACTCAGATTTACCACGTGGTCGATTGTGATTCAAGTCCCAGATCTGGTGGCTTGAAAATCATGCTGGATATGTGTGTACATGCCCAAAATCCTAGAGGAGACTGGAGGAGAAGAGATTGTGGCATGGCCATCCTCCATTGAGGGTGATTTCTCAACTATTCCTCTCTTTGTCTTTCTCCAGTGAACACATGTGCCCTATGGCAAAAAAACCCCTAAAAACAAAAACTAAACTAAAAAGACTACTTTCTCCAGTGTTTGGCTATTTTACATCGACTAGAAAAATGGAGATTCATGATGTGTGTTTCTTAGTATGAGATGATAAAAATTAAATGAAGAGAGTTCACAGTATAATTTATCATACACACATACATATACACCCCCCAAGTCTTACACGGAACCAGGAGAACACCGTTGCCATCGAGAGTCCCTGGGCTATCTGTGGCGTGGTCCAGACTCCCTGGGTATCTATGATGTGGTTATAGTTCCTCAGATGTCTGATACGGTGTAGAGGCAGTGTGTGGTGCAGTGACAGAAATGTGCTGGCCAGGAGAAAAGGAGCCTGGACTGGAATCTGAGCTCACTTCATCACCTCTGTGATTTTCACAGCTTCCATTTTCTCTCTCCACAAAAGTGGAGAAGAATATACCATATTCTTTCTGAAATTTCATTCTGCTCTGGTAGTCAATTATTTTCTTTTTAACTAATGCCTATCTCTACTCCCAGTTCATCATGAGTTTAGGACGACAGTGTGAGCCTTTTATGTCCTTTATTCCTAACTGCTCATGCCACCTGAGTCTAAGCAACCTCTTTTAAGTATTGAGCATCATATTGACTTTGTTATGAGAAAGAATTCTGGCATGGCTGTTTCAGAAGGTAAACCTCATTTAATCTGACTTTCTCAGTGATGACTTGAAGGGTCACCCCAGTACCAGAAGTATGATAAATGAACTGGTAAGTTAGGTTGGAAGTGAGGCATGAAGGCATGCCATTGTCTGAACAAAACAGCATTCAGTTCCTCCTTCTTTTATATGAGACCCAGCAAGGTTAGATGACTTGTAAGGTTCACAGTATTTACTATTTACATCCATGATTGAAAGCTAAAGGAAATTTTCAGGGTTTTGCTCCCTGTCAAATTGGTCTGTATTACAGATCCTGTAATAAGAAATGATCCTTGAGGAAAAGGAGAGTGGGGATTAGTATATAGGATTGTCCTGAATGCTGGTACCTGAGTAGAGGCATTAACTTAGTGGTAGTAGTAAGATTGCTATACACCTAGATCCCAAGTGTACATTGTGAGTATTTATAACCATTAATTATAAAATTAATAGTTCATTGGCTGTCTGCATTGTAGGGGATTCTTGGTACTAAGAATTTATTTAAGTGTGTATTATAGGAAATTTTTTACTGATTTTTCCCTCATGTACTAGTAGAAATAACCTGGGGATCAGCAGGTGATATGGAGGTTAAGGTGCTGGACTCCCACATGGCCAGATGTGGTTTGAGTCCCAGAGCTGGAGGCTTGCTTTCTTACTCTCTCTCCATTTCTGGTCAAATAAAGAAATAATAATAAAAATTAAACAAATAATTCTTTTAAAAATTACCTCTGGAAGCATTCATCAAATTAAAAAATCTTCTTTGGAGATAAACTGGCTAGCTGATTGTACATTTTTGAGATTTTTATTAGGTGTTTGTGTTTTTGAATTGTTCATATTTTGACTTAAAACATCCTTTTTCCCCATTTTCTTCTCCTTTTCAGGACAAGATGATGTTTTCAAGTGCCTTGGGGAGAATATCCTTCAGAATGCTTTTGATGGCTACAATGCATGTATCTTTGCCTATGGACAGACTGGTAATGTTCAATAACATGAAATCACATGAGCGAATATCTTTGAATAAGTGGGAATGTATTACTACAACCATGTTTTCTGAGTAATATATTGCTGATTTATTCTTTGGTACGATTTTCCTTTTCAGAAAGTACTACAGACTAGGTACATTTTAAATGTGTGTAATACAGTTAACATTAGGGGACCAGTGAGAGGTGGGGTGGTTGAGGTGGCTGGATCCCACATGGATGACTGCATGCTTCAAGTCCTTCCTGGTTTGAAAAACATGACGGGCAGGATCAGTAAATGGCATAATGGTTACATTGCTGGACTTCAACATAGTTGACCGCAGTTTAAGTTACAGACCTGGCAGCTTAAAACTCACATGGGGCATGTTCACACCAGGCACGTGTGCATATGTGCCCAAAATCCTGAGAGGAGAATGGAGAAAGGGTTGTGGTATGGCCATCTCCCCGAGGGGTGATTTCTCGCTTTCTGTCTCTCTCTGTCTCTCCAGTGAGCGCATGTGCCCTACAGCAAAAAAATCTCTCTCTCTCTCAAAAAACAAACAAACAAACAAAAAAGCATGATGGGCACGTGTGCGTACATGCTCAAAATCCCAAAAGGAAGGTGGAGGAGAAGGGATTGCGGCATGGCCATCTCCCTGGAGGGGGTGGGGTTCCACTTTCCCTTTCTCTCTATCTCACTCTGGCCAGTGTATGTGTCCTATGGCAAACTTAAAAAAAAAATAGGATTAGAATCCTTTTTCTTTACAGATCTCACAAGTCACTGGGAAGAGTTTGTTTGTTTGTTTGTTTGTTTAATGCATTGTATAGTGATGACTATTAAATATATCACCACCCTGCATATCTATCGTGCTTTTTTGTTTGTTTGTTCAGTTTGAGGGACTTAATAATAGCGAAAACACCAAAAACAACATGCTTGTTATTATCTTACCAGTTATAATTGATAGGTGGTTTTTTGCATTTGTACCTCTGTGGTCAAGGAAAGAAACTCTATTTAAAGAAAACTGGTTACTTATATTTTATTTTTAGTTTTTTTTCTAGATAGAACTTGTGCTTTCGGGAGAAAGAGAGAGAGACAGAAAGTAAGAAATCACCTGCTGGGGGGATGGCCATGCTGCATTTCCTTGTCCTCCATTCTCCGCTTTGGATTTTGGGCATGCATGAACACACACCCAGTGTGATCAAGCTGCCGGTCTGGAGCTTGAACTGTGTTCAGCTATGTGGGAGTCCAGCGCCTCAACCACCACGCCACCTGCTGGCCTGGGAACTGGTTACATTTATAAGAGCATATTGAGACCAGCAGTTGGCATAACGGCTATGTCACGGGACTCCCATGTAGTCGATCGTGGCTCAAGTCCCGGACCTAGTGACTTAAACTCACACCGGGCACTTGTGTGTGCATGCTCAAGATCCCAAGAGGAGAATGGAGGAGAAGGGATTGCGGCGTGGCTATCCTCCCTGGGGAGTGATTTCTCACTTTCTGTCTCTCTGTCTCTCTATGTCTTTCTGGCATGTGCACGCACCCTATAGCAAAAACCTCTCAGAAAAATAAAAGAGGATGTCATATAAGATTGTCCACTTGGGAACTGTTCTCTACAGAAAAACATTTCAAGAAACATTATACATAGCAGTTTAAAGAGCCAAAACCCAGGAGCTAGGCTGTGCTAGCTCTAGTCCTGCTCCTGTCATCTGGGACGTGTTGGCACATTTCTTAACCCCACTGCCCCTCGGTTTCCTATCTGTAAAGTATTGATCATTACAGACCTTTCTGTAGGGCCTTCATAATGAGTTAACTGGGTGCAAACTTTAGAAAAGGCCATACGTGTAGGAAGTGGTGCCTTAGTTTAGGCATTACGATACGATACAGGGTCAAGTGGCAAAAGCAGCAACTACAGGTTACAAAGCATATTTACAGAGTCACAGTGCTAGAGAAGGAAAGAATTGTATTTTAGTGTCAGTGGTTACTGTTTTTGAAGGATAGGCCTCTGGGAATTTATTTATTTTTCTATTTGACTATGTTTCCAAACTTTTCTTTGAATGCAGAAGTATTTCTCCTACAATGGAGAAAAAAAATTATATTAGGAAAAGTTTATTCTTTAGTTTCCACACTGTTGCCAAAGGGTAGTAAATTAATTTGCTCAGGGCCTACTGAGATGAACCATACTTTTTTGGGATATGATTTGTGTTGGGGAGCAGGTACAGCATTGATCAAATTAATCTTCCCAGATTATTTTAGAAAACTTCAAACCTCACCATTGTTCAGTTGTCTTAGGTATATTTTTAAGTATGAAGATGATTCAAGCAAGTTTTTTTTTTCATTCTAAAATTCATTTACTTTTGAATTTTACATAAGCAGTAGGAATGCATTTGTACTTACTATTGTTTTGGGTAGATTACTTATGGTATTGGGCATTTGCTAAGTGCTAATAATTTATTATGAGCAGTGGAAAGATGTTTAGGTGATTAACTTTCTCAAAGAGACATTAATTACTCTGATTTTCACTCTTTTAGGGTCTGGGAAATCTTATACCATGATGGGCACAGCTGACCAACCTGGCTTGATCCCAAGACTTTGCAGTGGACTCTTTGAACGCACTCAGAAAGAAGAAAACGAAGAGCAGAGTTTTAAAGTAGAAGTATCCTACATGGAAATTTATAACGAGAAAGTTCGAGACCTTCTTGATCCCAAAGGGTAAAAGACTTTAAGACTGTAGTGTTATAGCATTATGGACTAAAATGGATTTACTAAATTGCGTAAGTGAAATTTTTATATTGAACCATAGTAGAGGATCGTCTAGTTACTATCTCCGTGATTTATGTTTCCTTACGCTGAGTAGCTTTTGCAGGCAATCGTGGGCTCTTGAACTTAGGGCTGGGGTGAGAGAAGAGTTTAGGGACAGAAAAGAGTGGCCAAGCAGGTGTGCATTTGTGTCATACCGCCTTCCTCAGACTCATCCAGAGCCACCAACAAATACGGCGCAGTGACAGTCATTTAGCATCATCATAGCTTGGAGCCTTAAAAAGTTTGTTTTGTTTTTGAGCCAAGAAGTTTCCATTGGTATTCAGCTGTTCAAAGGCTGTGAAGTAAGGGAGAGGCATAATCAGAGATATGAAACCTGGTCTTTATGATAGTTTTGAAGATTCTCAGGAAAATAAAGTGCCCATGATTTCATGGCACAGATTTTGAAAGACAAGAGGCTCTAAGCATTAGATGGCCTGCAGAAATGTTATGACTCTATAGCCACATTTGTACTTAATGAGTAAGGTTGGAGCTAGTGGGAGAAATCTGTTTATTATATAGCTCGTAGCAGTTCAGATTTTTTTCTTTTACTTTTTAAGAATTATTTATTTAATTTTATTTATTATTATTATTTTAAAATTGCTATAGGGTATGTGCACTCACCAGACACAGAGAGAGACAGAGAGAGGGAAAGTGAGACAGCAAGCTGCTAGGTCTGGGACTCAAACTACGGTCAGCCATGTGGGAGTCCAGCGCCTCAACCACCAGGCCACCTGTTGACCCCAGCAGTTCCGATTTTAAAGTGCAGTTAGTAGAGAGAAAGAAAGAGAAAACAAACACAGTGTTGATGAATACAATAGCTTGTTGATATGAAAACAGTATTAGGAAGGTCAAAGAGCCAAATTTGTCAAGGCTTACAGTACACTGAGGAGACATTTAGTTCTGTTTGGCTGAGGAAGATGACCAGGAAAGATGGTCATGAAGCTGTGAATTGCAGCAGTGCGCCAGCAGGAGAAACGGAGAGCCTCTCAGTTTCTCGTAGCCATCTGTTTTTTTTTTTTTTTTTTTCGATCAACATAATAATATTCAGGTCCTTTCTATACAAAATGTACTTAATAAACATTTATCGAGTGATTGTTATGTGTCAGGTACTATGCAAGTCATAGAAGGAAGCTCACACTGTGGACAGAGTGAAGATTCTGTGAGTAGATAATTATAATATTGGGTCGTTGGAAAAGTCATGATGTCTTCCTGCATGGAAAATCAGAAAAATACATCATAACTTTTCCAACAACCCAATACAACCTACTTTTAACTTTTGAAGGAGCTTCATACAATGTACAGAGCAAATAGGGTACGACAGACTGCCCAGAGGAGGAGACGATTCCACAGAGAGTACTTGGTGAATTTGGAGGAATTTGTCCACTGGGAAGTTAGGTGGGAACCACTCAGGCAAAGGGAACAGCCGCGGCTTCGAAGCATGGAGGTATAAAAAAGCCCCTGTCATTAACTTGGAGAAAGACCCAGTGGTTAGAAGGGTAGTGTTCACAGAAGTAAGAATTGGAACAAAAGGAGGTCAGAGATAGGCAGGTTTGGGACCAGGTCCCCACCTCTTCCTTAATCTTGTACCCCTGTTTGTTTTATCTGTCTTGAATGCCTTTTTCCTGCACTTGCCCCTCTGTGAAGATCATCACATTTTTCAGAATCAAGCACAGTCCTACTCTTTTCTAGAAATTCTTGGCTGACCGACTTCATACCTGTTCATTCTTTCGTTTTCCATAGTGCTTGTGTGGAATAGCTTGAACTTTACTATTTATACTTGGTCACAGTCTTTAGTAATTTCTTACATGTTTATCTTGTGGACAGGTTAGTAATTGATGTCACCAGCTTTGGATTCACAGCGCTCTGGATCCAGGTCCTTGTTACTTATTGAGCAAATTCCCTGCACTTTCTAGGCCTCACTTGCACAGAGGCTTCATTTGTACAGAGATGAATGATACTGTTTCACAGTATTTCAGGGGCTGTTATGAAGACAGACTGGAAGGTTTGAGGAGGTCTTAGAGTACTTAGTAGTATAAGTAAGTGCAATAGCTGGTAGCTGTCATTGTGTCCCCCATGAAAGTCTCTTGGGATTTTTTTAGGGCTAGTGTTTCTGAACAGTTAAAGTAAGTGGACTGAAGCTCCAAAGGTGATCTCATTTCAGCCAGACTATTCAACAGAACTGTGTGTGTGTGTTTGCCCAAGATCTCAAGAGGAGAAAGGAGGAGAAGGGATTGCGCCTTGGCCATCCCCTCTGGGGGGGGTGATTTCTTGTTTTCTGTCTCTCTGTCTTTCTGGTGAGCGCACATGCCTCATAGAAAAAATCTTTCTTAAAAAAATACTTTCTGGTGTATATCAGTAAGTATTCTTTATATGCTCTATAGTTTTGGTAGATGTCTTTTACACACTTTGTCAGTTCCTTGTTTTGTAGACTTTATTGAATCTTTTTTCATGTATTCATTAAAGTGATTATGAGTTTTCTCACTTCAGTCTGTCAATGTGATTAAGTGCTCGAATCTTTTTGTCCATTGTTAAAACAACCTAGCAGCTTGGTATAAGCTCCATTTTATGTTTTGAAATCATTAGATTCAGTTTGTTGTCTTTTGTTTGTCTTTATCATGATTGAGATTGGGCTGTAGTTTTCCTTTCTCGCAGTTAACATTTCTTGAGTTTGTGCTCTTCGTACCACATTGTGTGCCCTGACAAGTGGGTTGTTCGCATTCATTTGACTCCGCATTCCTCGTGGAAGTAAATAGACATCCTACAGTGTACCCTTTGGAGTGATGTGATGGTTTACCACATTATGAAGTTTTTCTTCCCAGTGAAGATTTTAAAGTTTGGTTTAAATTCTTCAGGGGTCAAGGGTCTTTCTTAAATTCACCATACACTTTTCTAGAGCACAGTTGAGTCCTTATTGTTAAACAATTGCTACTGTGAAAAAATCGTTTCTTTGTTTTGCGTGAATAGAAGCCGCCAAACGTTGAAAGTCAGAGAGCATAGTGTGTTGGGACCTTACGTCGATGGACTTTCTAAACTGGCTGTCACAAGCTACAAGGTAACAACCTCTTTCCCGTGAACTACTTAATTTAGTGTAGTAAAATTTTGAGGTTCTTTGGTTTAACTTGTTATTGTTTTCTAAATTAAATCTACTACCACTGTAGTATTACTTAATCATATGTTTTATGAAAAATTAAAAAAAAAATAGATTGGAGACCTGTCAATAAAGGTAGGCTAAACAGGATGAAGCTTTTAAATTAAGCCTCAGTTATCATATTTAATGGATTTAAAATGTGTTTGGAATGAATCTATATATTTATCTTTTATTGTTGTTTTTCCATTCTGGTGCCTGCTATACCTCTTTTTGTAATAAATGTTGTGACTTTGAGGCTTTTTACTTAAAGCGTTAAATTTTTCCTTTTTCCTAAAACATTGTTCTTTTTCACTTATGCAACAAAATAGAAACCTGTGATTTTCAATTTTTCAGTGTGTCAGGAGTTTGCTTGAATATAACATAATAAATATAATAGGATTTAAGTTCTTTAAAACACGGATTATTACCTGTTTGGTTCACTATATATCTGTAGTGTCTAGAAAGTATCTGGCATGTGGTAGGTGCTCTCAGTGTACATTTGAATGAATGAATGAATGATAATTTAAACGAGAGTTTTCATGCGGACAAGGTCTGGAGTTGGACTCTCCAGGGCCTGCATGGTGCCTCCAAAGGTGGTATGAAGGACCTAAGCCTTTTGGCGTTCCACAGAGAGAGATGTGGTAACACCCTTGTTCTCATAATTCAAGATGACGTTTAGAACCAAGATGTGATGGCGTGCTAGTCCCTTTAAGGAGATTTCACAGATGGCCTCTGTTGTACTTCACATCTTATTTGCTAAAACTTAATCATATGTCTAGACTGAGCTGCAAGGGCATCTGGGAAATGTCCTAGTTCTGCCACAGCGTGCTCAGATTGGGTTCCTTACGGGAAAGACGAGGACAGTGCATAATGGAGGGAGCTAGTTGACTTTCTCACATGTCATTTTCTTTCTATTTTTAAAGAATTATTTATTTAATTTTATTTATTCATTCATTTATTTTAATTTGACCAGAGAGAGACACAGAGAGAGAAAGGGAAAATGAGAAACCAAGCCACTGGGACTCGAACCATGGTTGGCCATGTAGGAGAGTCCAGTGCCTTAACCATCATACCACCTGTTGGCTCCCACATATCATTTTTATTGTTTCTCATGAAAAATTCTTATAAGGAAGATAATGTTATAATTCGGGATTGTTATTTATTTAGAGAGATTTTTGCTATCGGGGCGTGCATTTCCTAGAGAGATAGAAAACAAGAAATCCCCCCCCCCCCCAGAGGAGATGGCCACACTGCAATCCCTTTTCCTCCATTCTCTTCTTGGGATTTTTTGGGCATGCACACTCATGCACTCAGCATGAGTTTCAAACTGCTGGGTCCAGGACTCAAACCGTGGTTGATTACGTTGGAGTCCAGCGCCAACCATTACATCATTTGCTGGTCCCATCATTCTGTAGCATTATTAGTGAAACTAAAATTCGTATTATTTTGGAGCTTATAACTTCTTTTTAAAGAGAGTAGTTTTTTTTTTTTCTTCTTTTTTTTGAGAGGTTTTTGCTATAGGGCACGTGCGCTCGCCAGACAGAGACAGAGAGACAGAAAGTGGGAAATCATCCCCCGGGGTCTATGCCACAATCCCTTCTCCATTCTCCTCTCAGGATCTTGGGCACGCACACACATGCGTCCGGCGTGAGTTTTAAGCCACCAGGTCCAGGATGTGAACCGCGGTTGACTACATGGGAGTCTAACAACATAGCCATTACGCTAACTGCTGGTCCCAGGAGAGTAGTTTTTATTTAAAAAATTATTTAAAAGTGTTGGAACAAATTCATAGTTAAAGCATTTAAAAATGATTCTTGGGGTGCAGGTGGCGTGGTGATTAAGGATGCTAGACTCTCACATGGCTGACTATAATTTGAGTCCTGGACCTGGCGGCTAGCTTTTTATCTTTTCTTCTCTCTCTCTCTCTGTGTCTCTCTTTGGTCAAATAAAAATAATAATAATAAAGAAGTTAAATAATAATTTTTTTTGAAGAGGTTTTTGCTATAGGATACGTACATTCACTAGAAAGACAGAGACAGAGAGACAGAAAGCAAGAAATCACCCCCCAGGGAGATGGCCACGCCACAATCCCTTTTTCTCCATTTTCCTCTCGGGATCCTGGGCATGCATGCACATGCACCTGGCGTGAGTTTAAGCCACTGGGTCTGGTATTTGAACTGTGGTCGACTACATGGGAGTCCAGTGATGTATCCATTACATCATCTGCTGGTTCCAATAAAATAATTCTTAAAAAAAAAATAAAGACTCTTTTATTTTAGATTGTGTACTGTCTCAGTTCTAGCCTTGTCCAGGGAAGGGCCTCCAGAAACTGTACCTTTGGAGTCCGGCCTCACTGAAAGGAGTTTTTATTTTACGGAAAGGAAGCCAGCTAAAGGCACAGCACGTGTGCTTGCTGGAAAGAGAGAGACAGAAAGTGAGAAGTCACTCCCCAGGGGAGATGGCTATGCCACAATCCCTTGTCCTCCTCTTGGAATTTTGGGCATGTGTATACATGTGCCCGGCGTGGTTTTTTTCAAGCCTCCAAGACCAGGACTCAAACCACGATTGGCTTGTGGGAGTCCAGAGCTAACCACTGTGCCACCTGCTAGCCTCCATGATCCTTCTATTGCAGGACTAGGAACATGTAATAAATCTGTGCAGAAAATGAGTCTCTTGATGTTCTCATTTTTAAAAACAGATCTGGTAAAACATATACCACAGTGTTAATGATTTGCCTTGGTAAAGGGATTACAAGTTATTTTCAGTTTTCTTTATTGTTTGTTTTAATTTGCCAGAGGGCATGTGCTCTCACCAAAGAGACAAAGAGAGAAAGAGAGGGGACGGGAGAAAGTACTTCTCAATGGGGGCATGGCCATGGTGCAATCCTTTCCCCTCTGTATCTCTACCCTTTCAGAATTTTTGGTATAAGCACACATGTGCCTAATATGTTTTTCAAGCTGCAGGGCAGGATTCCAGCTGCCCGGTTGGCTGTGTGGGATCTGGCTCACTTAACCACTAGGCCACAGGGTACCAGTCTACCCCACCCCCTACCTTTTTCTTCCCTTCTAATTCATGAGGAGAGTCCAGACATAGAGAAAGGGAAGGAACACCTTTGAACAGGATCTTGACAGTTCCCTTCCTATAGACCTCTAGCTCCTCAGGGTCCCTTCCATGGCTCAGATTGATTCATGGTCAAACCCACAGTTGGCCATGTGGCTTCCAGCACTGCAGTTCAGTACTGTACTGCCTGTGTCATTGAAGATGGGCCATGAGTTACTTTTATTTGTTTGTTTTTATGATCTGTTTTAATAGTAAATGTGTATTGCTTCTGTAATTAAAGAAAATAACATTTTCCAAACTTTTAATTACATTGGCATGACATATTCATCTATCTTGTGTGATTTTTTTTTTTAAGAGATTTGTTATAGGGCAAGTATGCTTGCTGGAGAGACATAGAGACAGAAAGCAAGAAATCATCCCCTGGGGGGATGGCCACGCTGCAGTCCCTTCTCCTCCATTCTCCTCTCAGGATCTTGGGCACACATGAACACGTGCCCGGCATGAGTTCTAGGCCGGCAGGTCCAGGACTCAAATCACGGTCGACTACATGGGAGTCCAGTAACGTAACCATTATGCCATCTGCTAGTCCCACCATCTTGTGTGATCCTAAAAATATAGTTTCTGAACTTTTCTAAGTCAAAGCTGCCACATCTTCTGTATCTACAGGAAATAATGTACTTTGAGTTTTCAGAGAGTAATGGCTATCATACTCTGGGGTTTAATTTTCATTGAGAAATAAAATACAAACTCCCAGTGTATTGCCTAAGTAGTGACATTTGTAATCCATACGGTAGCATTTCATAGTATAGCAGTCTTACTGTCTAGCAAACTAATAGTGAAATGTGTGTCTGTAACCTCTTTCCACTTAGGACATTGAGTCTTTGATGTCAGAGGGTAACAAATCTCGTACAGTTGCTGCAACCAACATGAATGAGGAGAGTAGCAGATCCCATGCCGTCTTCAAAATCACCCTCACGCATACGCTCTATGACGCGAAGTCTGGGGTAGGTGTTCAGACGCATGTCCTTTTTGTGCATTTCTTTTTTTGTGTTTAAAGAATTAACTTTATTTATTTATTTACTTTAATTTGATAATAGAGGAATAGAGTGAAAGAAAAGAGAGAGAGAAAGCGAGAAAGCAAGTCACCAGGTCCAGGAACTCAAACTGCGGTTGGCCATGTGGGAGTCCAGCATCCTTAATCACTATGCTATTTGCTGGCCCCTTTGTGAATTTCTAAACTGCATGATGGCTTGCCCTTTTTTCTTCAGGTGTTGGATGAATTAAAGTCCTTGCTAGACCTGTGTATTAATTAGGACTCTAGAGAAGAAAAAGAAGCCCCTCCTGGTAAACAGAAAGGGATTTATAGTAGGTGGTGGACACCTGAGGAGTAGTGTGTTCTAGACTGCACTTCTAGGGATAACTCCCAGGACAACACAGATCCAGCCCAGGAGGCAGGGATGAAGAACTTGCTTCCATTGGCTCAGCTGGTCTTTTATTTATTTATTTTTTTTAAAGAGGTTTTTGCCATAGAGCGTGTACACTTGCTAGAGAGGAAGAAGCAGATGGAGATTCAGAGACTGTGGGGAAAGGTGACAACAGAATTCATAGAAGTGAAAAAAATTTTAAGTAGGTAACAGAAAAAGAAGGAAAATGCCTAAACCAATCAATGTAAGCGTAACTACAATGGAATTTGCCATTCGGCCCAATACAACTGGCAAACAACTTTTTGACTGGGTGGTGAAAATGGTTTGCGTGAGGTCTGGTGTTTTAGGCTGCAGTATGTAGACAGCAAAGGTTACTCTACATGGCTTAAACTAAATAAAAAGGTAACACAGCAGGATGTTAAAAAAGAGAATCTTTTACAGTTCAACTTTAGCGCCAGATTCTTTCCTGAAGATGTTTTGGAGGGATTAATTCAAGAAATAACCAGAGGCTTTTCTTCTTACAAGTTAAAGAAGCAATCTTAAGTAATGAGATATAATGCCCACCAGGAATTGCAGTTCTTTTGGCTTCTTATGCTGCCCAAGCAAAATATGGTGATTGCAGTAAAGAAATTCACAAGCCAGGACACCTGGCTAATGGTAGACTCCTACTCCAGCGTTTTTGGAACAACATAAACTGACAAAGGAACAGTGGGAAGAAAGAATACAGTACTGGCATGAAGAACATAGAGGAATGCTAAAGGAAGATTCTGTGATGGAATACTTGAAGATTGCATGACATCTAGAAATGTATGGAATCAACTATTTTGAAATAAAGAATAAAGGGGAACTGAATTGTGGCTAGGCCTTGATGCATTGGGTCTGAATGTTTATGAGCACAATGACAAGTTAACACCTAAAATTGGTTTTCCTGGGGGTGAAATCATAAGTATTTCATTCAGTGACAAAAATTTTGTTATAAAGCTGATTGACAAAAAGACACGTGATTTTGGTTTTTATGCACCTTGTCTGAGAATCAATAAACGCATTTTGGCCGCACGCATGGGAAACCATGAACTGCACATGAGAAGAAGGAAGCCCGACACTACTGAGGTACAGCAGATGCAGACTCAGGAGAGGGAGGAGAAGCATCAGGCGCAGTTGGAAAGGGAACAATGGGAGAATGACAAGAGAAAGGAGAAAAGGAAAGGATAGAAAATGAAAAAGAAGAGCTAATGGAATGTCTAAGAAAAATTGAAGAACAGACCATGAAAGCCCAGAAAGAACTAGAAGAACAGACTCGAAAAGCTCTAGAACTGGATCAGGAATGAAAATGGGCAAAAGCAGCAGCAGATTGGCCTGAGAAGGAGCATCGAGCTACTGAAGAGACCAAGTTTGTTATAGCAAAACAAGCTGCTGACCAGATGAAGAATCAGGAACAGCTAGCAGCGGAACTTGCCGAATTCACTGCCCAGATTGCCCTCTAGAAGAAGACAAGAAAAAGGAGGAGGAAGCTACTGAGGCAACACAAAGCTTTTGCAGCCCAGGAAGACTTGGAAACGACCAAAGAGTTAGAAACTAATATCTGCCCCCCCCACCAGTCATTCCTCCAACAGAAAATGAGCAGGATGAACATGATGAAAATAATGCTGAGGCTAGTGCTGAATTATCAGATGAAGGGGTAATGAACCAGAGAAGTGAGGAAGATCATGTAACAGAAACACAGAAAAAATAGTGAGTCAAGAAGCAACTCCAGGCATTAAGTTCTGAATTAGCCCAAGCCATAGATGAAACCAGAGACACAAAATGATGTTCTTCATGCTGAGACAGTTAAAGCAGGCCACGATAAGTATAAGACTCTGCGACAGATTCGACAGGGCAACACAAAGCAGCGTATTGATGAGTTTGAAGCAATGTGAGAGCCGTTATTTTGCATAAATGTTCTTCATAAGCTGAACCACCAACGGAGAAAAGCAGGACTTTGCACAAGTGATGGAATGCATCCCACCTTGCCAAAGCATGTACACCAGTTTGTGGTGCCTAAAAGACATATTTAAGGGGAGCTGTTCAACATTAAGGCAGTGTGATGTCATGCTTGTTTTTCTTTTTCTCTTGGGCCAGAGAATGGAGAAGGGTGTTCCATCACCTCCTTTCACATTTTTCTTTTTTTTTTTTCTGTTGAAGATCAACACTAATTATCATGTCTGACAAATGTGTATGTGTGTGGTTTGTTTGAGCACATCTTAAAGGATAATGGTGAACATTTTCATGAGTGTTTTCCCTTGCCCTTTCCATATGTACCCTGTATACATTTCCACATTTTGTCTCACTCATATTTTCTTGGTGTGCCCTTTTCATATCCTGCCATATTCCTAAATGTAATTCTGTGATCATGCAGATCATTTGCAGTGTTTAAAATGAGGGGAGGGAGAGCAGGAAGGACAGGCTTGGATGATTGTGTAAAAGACAGCTGTGAATCATGGAAAGGATTAGAATGTTTAATAGTGTAATGTGCAGCTGGTGGTTAACGTTTTTAAATCTCAATTTAATTATATTATTGGATATTTGATATCTGCTTATATAATTACATTTACCTTTGACTACTGCATTAATTAGTATTTCATTCCCTGTAACCTTTGATGGTTTTCTTTGCCTGCCAATTCACACAGTGTCAATGCCAGGTAGTAGTTTTTCTTTCTCTTTTTAAAAAATTTTATTCATTGTCATTATTTTATTTATTTATTTTATTATTACTTTTGAAGTTGACCAGAGAGAGAAACAGAAAGAGAGAAGGAAAATGAGAAAGCAAGCCATCAGATCTGGGACTCAAACCATGGTCAGCTGCATTAACCACCATGCCACCTGCCGCCCCCCAGCCAGTAATAGTTCTACAGGAGAAATTATTGATGAAACAACTACCTGCAGATAGTTATCTCGGAAAGATTTGGAAACTTTTGTTCTTTCGTGGACTTAGAAAAACATAACTAATAAAAGAAAACTTACACTTGTTAGTAATTGATTTTAATCACTGGAAAAAAACCTGAGTTTTCCTGGAAGGGCAATATATATGAAAACATCAGTCCCAAGAAGGGGACAGTAATACCACCTCACTGTTACATCTGGTCGTTCAAACACAGTGCAGAGTGTAAGCTATATGTTTTGTAATACATGGTCTCAAACATGAAGGAATATTTTGAGACTCATTTTCCTTGAGCATCTCTTAAAGTGCTAAATTTTTACCTGCTTTTTTGTTGAGTTGAACTGTGGGACTCTGATTTGTATTAAAATTGTAAGTTCTCAAAAAAAAAATTAAATCGAATCACCAATGGAAATGTTTTTCTGCCACATTGAAAACTTCCCTGTTGACTGATACAATTGTTTTCTCTCTTTTTATGTGAAGTTTCACATATTTTATTATGGTGCCTGTCCCTTAGAACATCAATTTCAAATACCAGAAGCTAAAATAATTACTCTGGCAAAGTGCTATATTTTGGCAGGATTTTCATTTGCTGAAAGCATATTTTTCTCCTTTTTACCAATCACAGCAAGATTAGTTTAACAACAAAAAGTTCTTTGTTTTCTATTTTGTTTTCAGCACAAAATGAAAAACATACTGCAGACTTTTTTTTAAACAAAAAATACTTTTGACTTGGGAAGCTTTTGTTAGCAACATATTTATCTAATGGAGATAAAGAAAAAAATGTACATTTTAAGGGAAAGTTTCAAAAATGGTTTAGTCTATAAGGTTTTGGTATTGATGCTCTACATTACTTGTATGACTGCTGAAGTATAAAATACCTGTGACACATATCACATACATATATACACATATATTTTATATGTATACATACATGTTTTACTTTTCATTTATAAATATACATAATATAATATTTTAATTAGAAAAGGATGTATATCTAATAACTGAAATTATGAAATAAAAGAATTATGAAAAATTTTAGAAAGTAGAAAGTGTTTCAAGTTTTTGACAGATTCTTCTGTTTTATAAAAATCAGGTAAATTTTTTAATATCATTAAGAATTTTCAATATTTTACCTCAAGATTACTGGTAAATATTAACAAAATTTTAAACATAATGTCAAATCATGTTAAAATTTACATCTTCTGGTATATTTCTTGGAATATTTTGTTGGGGTCCTTCAAAAAGTTCCTTCCGTTTGGAGACACTGTTGCTCTGACCTAATTCACTTTCACTCCATATGGATTAGGAGAGTTCTGTAAATGTGTGTATCTACTACTAGATTGTTTAGTTTTCTTACAGTGTTTTGAAGCAGTATAAAGTAATTTTGAAATAACAGTAAATAACCTAGTAAAGGATTTGGATCCTGAACCCATTTGATTGAGACAGTTCAGCTTCCTGTGTTAGCTGCTATTAGTCTCTATCACTTGTCTTTATAGACATCTGGAGAGAAAGTGGGCAAACTCAGCCTGGTTGATTTGGCTGGCAGTGAACGAGCAACAAAAACGGGAGCTGCTGGGGACCGGCTGAAAGAAGGGAGCAACATTAACAAGTAAGTGTCCCAGAAGCTTGTCTGTATGGCTTTCTGATTTAATAGCCAAATAGGGAAACCTCTGTGGTTATTAAAATAATAAGATGGTTCTGGAGTGATTAAGGCCATCATGAGTAAGTAGTTTGGAACTATTTCCTGTTGAGTTTGTTGTGTCTGAGCTCAGTTTCTGTTCTGTAGAGCTGTGTGATGGGCCGAGGAGCACAGCCTCCGTCAAGTCGTGGTTTGTCAGTGATGGCCCTACTGACATTTGGGGTTGGGGAGTTTTGTCGTAGAGGCGTGTCCTATGCATTATAGAGTGTTTAGCAGCATCCCTGGCTTTCTCTCAGAGGGTCTTAGTACTTGCTGTCTCTGCCTCAGCCCCCCTGTTAAGACAGGCCAGCTGGTGAGGGCATTGCTCACTGGTCACTGTGGGGACAGTCACCCTCCAGTTGAGAATCACTGGTCTAGCTACGAAGAAGCACAAAGGTAATGGTTCTCTCGGAGCCGAGCTTTGGATCCTGACCATGTATTGCTGTCTGAACAGTGTGGGTACTGGCCACGCTGGACCTTCTTTCTTATAACTGCTTGTGTTTACCCAAGTCCAGGAAGCTAGGAGTTCATGAAGTAAAATTTTGTTCACACTTCTGTCATATTGTTATCTTTTCTACTCATGTTAAGTCAGTCCTCATAGGTAGGGATTTATTCTGTCCTTCTGTCTCTGAGAAGGGCACAGAGTAAGTCAGTATTAACCAACTGGAGCGGCTAGAACCTCGTCATCCAGCTGCTGTGATATTATTGAGTCATATATATCAAAGTAATGTTTGCTGTCTTAATACTTTAATACTGTTATGATCATTATATTGTGTTTGGGCCTGCCTTCCTTAAAGATATGTGGTGTTCATGTTGTTATTTTGACCTGAAATTTACAGCTCACATTTTTATCTACAAAGAATGGGGGAAAAGAAAGGGGCTAAGCAGTTTCATTGCTTAAAGTCCTATGAGCAGGGCAACAGCTGTCTAGAGTTTGTGTGTTTTGATATTAAGGAGCAAAATGCTGATGGCAGTGCTGTTCACATGCAGGTACAAAGGCATCTTGGCGTTCAATCTTTGTGCTGAAATGTGACATATGATCTACGGCATATTTTGTAATTATTACGCTTTGTTGCACCATGCAGGTCCCTCACAACCCTCGGTCTGGTTATCTCAGCCCTAGCAGATCAGGGTGCTGGCAAAAACAAGAACAAATTTGTTCCGTATCGTGACTCAGTTCTCACTTGGCTGCTCAAAGTAAGTTTTCTTTATTTCCCCCCTCACATGTACTTTTGGTGGTTGGTAAAATCGAAGAATAAAGAATAGACTATTAATCCCTTCCGGTTATCATTTCCTCCATTAATGCTCAAATTTATAATATTCAGACTCTTAAGATAATCACAATTATGATGGATGAACATAGATTTCTTCCTCGGAGTTAATATCCTCTGGCCCTCCAGAACCTAGATGGGTTAGGGTCTTTGGGTTCACTCTAAATCACACAGTTGCTTCTGGAGATTTGGGGGACTAGAGAAAGGACCCAGTGTGAATCTGACAGCTGAGTGAGTCATCGAAAAGGAGTTTCCACCGTCTGGCCCACTCAGCTGGACTGCTCCATCTTCCTCACAGACTCCTTTTGTTTCACTGACATTTTGGACCTCATTTTCTGTTTAACCTTACTCATAATCATTTTATTTTGCTTTCAATTTCTTACAGGTAGAGCACACCACAGTCATTTATTGATTAACTTTTTTTAAAAGAGAGTTTTCTTCCTATGGGTACATGTGCTCATCAGAGAGACAGAAACCTAGAATCACCCTCTAGGGGGGATGGCCATGACACAGTCCCTTGTCCTCCATTCTCCTCTTGGGATCTTGGCTACACACACACACACACATACACACATGCCCAGTGTGAGGTTTAAGCAAGCAGGTCCAGGACTTGAACTGCAGTCGACTATATGGAAGCCCAGTGATATAACTATTATGCCCTTGATTAAGTTTTATAGTTCATTTATTCATTTATTTATGAGATAGAGCATAGGAGTGCACGCATGTATGATAGAGAGAGAGAGAGATGCACCGTCAACCAGGTCTTGTCATATGACGATTCCTCTCCTCTGCCTTCCAGGTGGTCAGGATGGTGGGCACATACTCAGCATATTTTCAGGCCAACCCGTGGATTTGAATCTGGTTAGCCCTGCAATTCAGTTTACTATTGACTGCACCACCAGGCAGGGCCTCATTGATTGATTAATGTGAATGAGAGAGGTGGAAAGGAGAAAGAAAATAAATCTCTAAGAGGAGAACACGACGACCTGCAAGCCACTTCTGTACACCCAAAATACTGTGACTTTGGCTGGCTCCATCACAGTAATGAACCACTCAGGAGAAGCTGGATCCTACTTGGTGGCTATGGTTTGAATCCCCAGCCTCTGTGGCCTGAAACACACCTGGGCATGTGCAAATACAAGGGGTCCTACAGGTTGGATGACTGGAGGAAGAAGGTCATGGCATGACCAGACCTTATGAATGGTGTTCTCTTTCTGTCTCTTTCTCTCACTCTCACATGTGGTCCCATGTGCTATATCATAAGTAAAGAAAATAAAAATAAAAAGTACTGTGGCTTGGGTTGGTGATGCACCATGTGGTAGACACTTCGCTTAGACCTGAGAGGAGAATGGAGGAGACGGGATTGTAGCATGGCTATCCCTCCTGGAGTTGATGTCTCGCTTTCTGTCGCTCTATCTCTCTGGTGAGTGCACCGCCCTGTAGCAAAAATCTCTCCTAAAAAAAAAAGAAATAAAAATTAATCTTGACATTTCACTTGTTCCTCCCCCCACCAGGTAATCATGATAGAATACTTCACTTCTTCCTTTCCCCTGGTGGCGCTTTCTCCTCCCTCTTTTCCTGTCTTTCTCTGGTGAGCACACATGCCCTATGGCAATAAAAAATAAATAAAACTAAAATAAAAAAGATTGGAATTCAAGGGTCCAGATGGTGGCACTTTGGTAAAAGGCTGTGCTCTATGAGGCTGACCAAGTTGGGAAAGTTTTCTGGTTCACATCCGGAGATCTCTTAAGTACAGGGCCCACATGTGCTAATGACCTGGGGCTGGCGAGGCTGGTGGTGGGTCACTGCATCAAGACTCTGTGAGGTTGCTTCTATTTGTCTCTTCCCCTGTCCCTCTCATTTGTAATTCTTGAGGAATGAAAACAAAATGTTTTTAAAAAGCTCATTTTCTCAGGCTAACCTCATAGCCTAGGTTATACTTGACCATGATTTGATCCTCCACCTGGTGGCTTTTCTCACCATCGCATGTGGGTTACTCATTTGGTAGGGCAGTTAGTGCAGAACTACTTCATGTTAAGATGAGTTTTGCTTCTCTATATAACTTTCTAAACATAGGCCTCTTCACATCAAGGAACTTCTGGTAATGAATGCTTAGATAATGAATACCTTTCAAATTCATTCCCTTTCCCTTTTTTTTTTTTGAATTGACATATAATAATTATACATATTTATGGAGTATAACATGATTTCTCAGTACAAGAATGTAATGTGTGAGGACTAATTCAGAATTGGTATATTTATCACCTCAACTATTTGCCATTACTTTTGTGTTGGATACATTCTAAATCCTGTTTTTTTAGGCTCTTCAAGATATACATTAAATTGTTGTTAATTATATCTACCCTACTTTATGTCACTAGGAGTTGCTTCTCCTGTCTACGTGTAATTACCAACCTATTAACCAATATTTTGTTACCACTCCCTCTTTTTTTAAAAAAAATGATTTTTTATTTAATTTTATTCATTGTCATTATTTTATATATATATATTTTTGAAGTTAACCAGAGAGAGACAGCAAGAGAGAAAAAAAGTGAGAAAGCAAGCTGCCAGGTCTGGGACTCAAACCACAGCCAGCCATGTGGGAGTCCAGCCGCCTTAACCGTCATGCCACCTGCCAGCCCAACCACTCCCTCGTCACCTGCCCCTTCCTTTCCAGCCTTGGCTAGTTCTTCAACTTGCTGATCTTTGCAGTTTCCACATGAGAGGGGAAATGTGCGTATTTCTCTTTGTATGTTGCTTATTTCACTTAATGTAATGTTCTCCAGGCTCACCCATGTTGCCTCAGATGACAGGATTTCATTTTTTTTAACGGCTGAATAGTATTCCTGTGTGTGTGTTTAACATTTTCCTTATCCTATATTCATCTTTTGGTGAATTTTTAGGTTGATTTTATCTCTTGGCTATTGTGAATAGTGTGCTGTAGTCATCATTAGAGTGTAGACAACGCTACAAAATACTGATTTTTCCTTTGGATATTTGCCTTATTGTAGGAATGGAGGATATAAGGCAGTTCTATTTTTTGTTTCTTAAGTAACCTCCATATGTTTTCCATAATGGTTGTGCTAATTTACATTCCCACAACAGTATGAAAGATTTCTCCTTTTTCTACATTCTTACCTGCATTTACTAGTTTTTGTCTTTTCACTAATAGCCCTTGTAACTTGCTTCTTCCTTTTTTCTGTTTTACTGCCATTTTCTGGATGAAGAGCATGCCCATTTCTCACTGTAATGTCAAAAATTAGGTCATTGGGGAAGTCACGACACATTTTCACATAGAAAAATATATCATGACTTTCCCGACAACCCAATATTTCCCTTAAGCTTTCTTAGTCCAATCTGTTCTCCACAGTTAGGTTAGATTAATACTCTTAATTTCAAATCTCTTCAGTAACTATAAACCCTTAGGATAAAGTCCAGATTCTTTAATGATATGTGATTTATAAGGCTCTTCATAATCTGACCCTGCCTTACGTTTCATTGTTCATCGTTTGCGTCTCAGTATTAGAAATTCTAGCTATGTGCTGAGTGCAGTGTAACTCCTAGGACTTCACTTTTGTTCCTTTTGGAACGTTCTTCCCCTTCTCTGTTTCTCTGACTTTCCTCCTCTCTTCCATTTTCCTGAATATTACATTTTTATCTTTAGGTCTCAAATGTCACCTACTCTGGAACTCTTCCCCGGCGTCTCAAGAACTGGCGTTCTGCTGTTTGTCCACTAGATACTGTATTTATCCCTGCTTTAGTTCCGATCGTGTCTTACTTGCTCAGCAGCATCTCCCAAAGTGAGTGTAGGTGGTTCGCTCCACCAAGAGCTGAATGAATGACTCCTTACAGCTCAGTTCTGAACTGGTGCCATGATCTTTGATAGGTCTTTAAGCCTTCCTGGGTCTCATTTCTCATCTGTGAAATGAAATAATTTGATTAGATGACTTCAGAAAGTTCACTCAACTTTAAAAAAATTCTGACTTCCAAAATTAAATTTCTTTCTTATGTTCATTTAATTTGTGGCTGCCACATTTGAAATGAAGCTCGTCTGATTTGCCTAATTAAACAAATAAAGAGTAAACAAGAAACTATACTTTCTCCTTGAACGAGTGCCAGTTCTTTTGTTGCTATTTCCTGTTTGCTAATGGCACAAGGCCATTTTTTAACATAAGCATATTGTTACTCCATGAACAAGGGCTTTCAGAATACCCAGTGTTTGTTATTTGCCAGGTTTCCTTTCCTCAGCACAAATTGAAGCACAATATGCTCGCTTTTCTCCTTTGGTGGTTATTGTTACAAATCCCCTTTACCCAGTAGCACTTGCTGTTCTCGTGGGCTTACAGCAGCATTAGTCCTTGAAGGGCAGGCAGCACTCCACACAGTGCTGCTGGTGAACTGAATTGCGAAGCACTTTCATTCTCACCATTTTTTTATATCATGTTTGAATTGTATTAATGTGCACAGGACTCTCCATGATATTTTTCTGGCTGTTGCCAAGTCTGGGACACCAGCAGATTGATTTCTGGAAGTGAATATCAAAGCAAGCAGTTCAGGCTTTCACTTCCTAAAGCTTGAATTCATGGTTTCCTGCCTTTTCATACTTCAGAGTATATTTTCTTCAATAATGTAATTATCTCTGTTTTCCATGGAAAACTGATTTTCTTTTCTTAAGAGATTTTTGCAGGGCTGGCAGGTGGCATGGTGGTTAAGGGCGCTGGACTCCCACGTGGCTGACTGTGGTTTGAGTGCCAAACATGGGTGTTTGCTTTCTCTCTCTCTCTCTCTCTCTCTGTCCCTCTGTGGTCAAATTAAAACAAATAAATAATGTTAATAAAATAATTCTTAAAGAATTATTAAAAAAAGAGAGACTTTGCTGTCAGGCACATGGGCTTGCTGAAGAGATTAGACAGAGACACACAAAGTGAGCGATCAATCCCCCCCCACCCCTGCCCCCCAAAGAGGATGGCCACAATTCTTCTCCATTCTCCTCTTGAGATTTTGGGCACGTTCGTACATGAGCCCTGCTTGAGTATTAAGCTCTCAGGTCCTGACCTTGGACCACAGTCGACTATGTGGGAATCCAGCAATGTAACCATTATGTTGTCTGCTGGTCCTGGAAAGCCAAATTTTTGTAATTAGTAAATAGACATATTGCATTGCCTGTGATTATATTGAACCATTAGTGATACCTTTATTTTTTGACAGTGGGGTGAAAACTTGGAAAAGTGTCAGGCCACCTTTCTT